CTCTTGATCTCTTTGCATTGTATGGACGCCACTTTCCGATTGCATTGTTCCATCGTCCGTCTTGGAGACGTTCATTGTGTCCAGCCCATTTCCATTTCAGTTTTACTGCTTGTTCTATCGCGTCTACTGTCTTTGTTCTGGTTCTGATCCACTGATTACGTTTTCTATCTTTAAGTGATATACCCAACATTTGTCTCTCCATCGCTCTTTGTGCTTTCCTGATCCTATCCAAATTGGCCTGTGTAAATGTCCATGTCTGTGCTCCGTAGGTGAGCACCGGTATTATACAGGAGTTATATACCTTGCTTCGTAAGTATAGAGGGATTGTTTGATTTTTTAGAACGTAAGAAAGTTTGCCGAACGCTGCCCATCCCATTTTTACTCGTCTCGATATTTCGGCTGTTTGATTTTCTCTGTTAGCTCTGATTGCTTGTCCTAGATAGATATACTCATTTACCTGTTCTATTTTTTCTGTTTGTATTTTTATTGCCTCTTGGTCTTCCGTGTTTGTCATTACTTTTGTTTTGTTGGTTAATTTTTAGGCCTTTTTGCAATGATTTTTCATGAAGTTCATTCAGCATTAATTCCAGTTCTTGTCGTTCCGCGGAGATCAGGTGATATCATCCGCATATTTAAGGTGCTTTAGGTATTTTCCGTTAATACATATTCCTCTGTTTTCCCAATCTGTTGATTTTATTATGTCTTCGAGGGTCAAGGTAAACAGTTTAGGTGAAATTATATCGCCTTGTCGGACTCCTCGTTTAACTTTTATATTATCCGTTATTAATTTGTCGTCCAGAATTTTTTGGCGTTTTGGTAAATATCATGAATCAATTGTCGGTATCTTGAATCTATTCTACTATTGACCAGAGCTTCTTTAACCGCCCAGTGTTCAATGCTGTCGAAAGCCTTTTCATAATCTACGAATGCTAAGTACAGCGGAAGGTTGTATTCATTGGTTTTTTCAATTAAGATTTTAAGCGCATGTAAATGGCCGATTGTGCTGTATCCTTTCCTGAATCCCTGTTCCACTGGTTGGTAGTTATCAAGTTTATAGGTTAGTCGGTTGTTTATTATTCTTGTGAAGGTTTTATATAGTTGTGACAAAAGGGAAATAGGACGGTAGTTGTTTAGGTCTGTTCGGTCTCTTACCGGTCTGTTCGGTATTTTACCTTCAAACAGACATTTGTTGAACAGTATTTTTAGCATTTTTTTATCGTGTCTCCTCCTTCTTTTAGCAGTTCCGCCAGTATTTTATCCTCACCGGCCGCTTTATTTCTTTTCATGTCGTTTATGGATTTTTCGATTTCATCTCTAATTGGTAATATGCTGCAATTTTGTAATATGCGTTGTAAAATCTCTAAAATGATTTTATTAAGTCATACTTATAAATTTGGCATATTCAAACAATTTGTTAGTTTATCAAATATTTTGTTACATTGACGCACAGAACGTCCCCATAAAAAATTTTACATCAATATATGCTTTGTTACGCAGTCAGTCCCAGCCACTGTCCAGAACAGATGAGCTAATTGACTACTATACTGGCCTGTGAACGATCTTGAAGAGTTTTTCAACTAGTCATCGGCTTAGGCTTTTGCATACATACCCTTTTCGGATAGTCCCCGAGGAAGCCCGTCGACCACCAGGGACCACAGCAGAGGGGCGTGAGGAAACATAAAATCCAAATTAATAAACATACAAAACTCCACAAACACACAACATAACACTACACTGTGAGCACCGACTACACTCCTTAGGAGTCGATTAAATATACACAAGGACAGGGGGAGATTGGTTTTCTGTGGTTTCCCAATCTCATTGCACAATGATACCTGATCCTAGGTGAGGACACAGCCACAGTTATCCTCCACGCGTTTTTTCAACAAACAAAAAATGGCCAATAATCTGAAAGGTATCGTTTTTCCATGGAACTTGTACTTCGTGACAGGCTTGGTGTGCCTGGCTAACTCTTCTGGAAGGTACGATTTCCGCCTCTTGCCTTCTTCTTGTTCTCAACTCCCTTCCTATCCTTCTCCTACCCTCTTTGACTTTTTAGCTCTTTAGCGGCGGCGCCCTTAGTCTTCGGAGTCCAATTGAAGTCATACGAACGAAAACTGGCATTTCAAACCAAACAAGCATAAGCACCCAAGTAACAAACCCACCCTTGAAGAAGCATAGAGCTTAAAGCAAGGTAAAAAACGCATTGATTGATTGGAGCTGTTCTCTGCCATGTGGGACCTCCTTGTTTCCTCATGTCATTTTTCCACCTCATCTGTGGTCTGCCTCTTGATCTCTTTGCATTGTATGGACGCCACTTTCCGATTGCATTGTTCCATCGTCCGTCTTGGAGACGTTCATTGTGTCCAGCCCATTTCCATTTCAGTTTTACTGCTTGTTCTATCGCGTCTACTGTCTTTGTTCTGGTTCTGATCCACTGATTACGTTTTCTATCTTTAAGTGATATACCCAACATTTGTCTCTCCATCGCTCTTTGTGCTTTCCTGATCCTATCCAAATTGGCCTGTGTAAATGTCCATGTCTGTGCTCCGTAGGTGAGCACCGGTATTATACGGGAGTTATATACCTTGCTTCGTAAGTATAGAGGGATTGTTTGATTTTTTAGAACGTAAGAAAGTTTGCCGAACGCTGCCCATCCCATTTTTACTCGTCTCGATATTTCGGCTGTTTGATTTTCTCTGTTAGCTCTGATTGCTTGTCCTAGATAGATATACTCATTTACCTGTTCTATTTTTTCTGTTTGTATTTTTATTGCCTCTTGGTCTTCCGTGTTTGTCATTACTTTTGTTTTGTTGGTTAATTTTTAGGCCTTTTTGCAATGATTTTTCATGAAGTTCATTCAGCATTAATTCCAGTTCTTGTCGTTCCGCGGAGATCAGGTGATATCATCCGCATATCTAAGGTGCTTTAGGTATTTTCCGTTAATACATATTCCTCTGTTTTCCCAATCTGTTGATTTTATTATGTCTTCGAGGGTCAAGGTAAACAGTTTAGGTGAAATTATATCGCCTTGTCGGACTCCTCGTTTAACTTTTATATTATCCGTTATTAATTTGTCGTCCAGAATTTTTTGGCGTTTTGGTAAATATCATGAATCAATTGTCGGTATCTTGAATCTATTCTACTATTGACCAGAGCTTCTTCAACCGCCCAGTGTTCAATGCTGTCGAAAGCCTTTTCATAATCTACGAATGCTAAGTACAGCGGAAGGTTGTATTCATTGGTTTTTTCAATTAAGATTTTAAGCGCATGTAAATGGCCGATTGTGCTGTATCCTTTCCTGAATCCCTGTTCCACTGGTTGGTAGTTATCAAGTTTATAGGTTAGTCGGTTTTTTATTATTCTTGTGAAGGTTTTATATAGTTGTGACAAAAGGGAAATAGGACGGTAGTTGTTTAGGTCTGTTCGGTCTCTTACCGGTCTGTTCGGTATTTTACCTTCAAACAGACATTTGTTGAACAGTATTTTTAGCATTTTTTTATCGTGTCTCCTCCTTCTTTTAGCAGTTCCGCCAGTATTTTATCCTCACCGGCCGCTTTAAATCTTTTCATGTCGTTTATGGATTTTTCGATTTCATCTCTAATTGGTAATATGCTGCAATTTTGTAATATGCGTTGTAAAATCTCTAAAATGATTTTATTATGTCATATTTTTCTACCGTTTAATTACTGCGGCGTCAAATAGTATCATGTGTTGTGAGCCCATACTTATAAATTTGGCATATTCAAACAATTTGTTAGTTTATCAAATATTTTGTTACATCGCACAGAACGTCCCCATAAAACTTTTTACATCAATATATGCTTTGTTACGCAGTCAGTCCCAGTCACTGTCCAGAACAGATGAGCTGATTGACTACTATACTGGCCTGTGAACGATCTTGAAGAGTTTTTCAACTAGTCATCGGCTTAGGCTTTTGCATACATACCCTTTTCGGATAGTCCCCGAGGAAGCCCGTCGACCACCAGGGACCACAGCAGATAGGCGTGAGGGCAAGCATGGGACGCCGACATCCGAGCGCAATAACCGTTCCGGTACGCAGCTATCTGCCTCTGAGAAAGCAGTGCCCAGATCAACCTTACCGCTGCAGCCAACCCAATGTTTTTCAGCCGCATCACACATGGAATCAAAAGTAGTAGATCTAAAGGCGCCCTCAATATCTATAAAGATTGTATTGCTTTCGGTCTGGAACCGGTCCACCAGTTTCTCTAGAGCCTTAAAAGTAAGGATGGGAGACAGCTTGGCCGGAACAATTTAGCAAGTGTAAAATTAGTTTTACCCGGCTTAGGATAAAAATATCGAGCTCGTTGAACTTCCGATTACAATATACTCGGTCCAAGAAATACCAAGTGCTGTGTTGTTATAATGTAATACATTTTCATCTAAAACGATTTTTCGTCGTGACTTTGAAGAGATAATAAAAATGTGCATTTGCGTTTTTAAATCCAACCATTCAACGACCTACATAATAGTTTATTATGGCTTACTTTTAGATTTTTCATTATTTTCCTATAACACAAGCACTCCATTCGCTTCCTCCCATTTTATATTCTTTATGCAAGTCGCTTTAGCTTCTTCTAAACAGCTTGCTGGCAAATTCTTAATTTTGAACTTTTGTGTTACACCTATTTTCTTAACACTACATAGTTTTCTACTTTTTTCCTTAAAGTAGAGGCAATAATGAACACGATACAGAGAGAGAGAGAGAGAGAGAGAGAGAGAGAGAGAGAGCGAGAGAGAGAGAGAAATAAAAGTTGTCCGATGTAAATGATGTCAGAAATGAAATACTCAAATATGCGGGAAAAGATGCTGTGCTAAAACTAATAAAACTTTTTTAACAATATCGTTCTAAAAGACAAATGGCAAACTAGAATGGAAACGGATAAGTTTTTAAAGCATCTTTAATATAACAAATATACTATACAATTTTGGCACTCTAAATTTTGGAGAAAATAAAAAAATCATGACAATATGTTTACCTGTTGGGCGTCGCAACAAGTGGCGCTTGGCGAAATATACGGACATCGCCTTTTAAGTATACTAATGGCTTCTTTATCATTAAGTGGCTTGGCAGGGCCATCATATACACAATTTTTACTTAAATCATCTTTGTCTGTATAGCAAACCCCGTACCACACACAGTGACCATCTGAATCTTGACTAGTTTCATCAGCCTGTAATAAAATAAAGACATTTTATTTAACAATAATTGAATTGGATATTTTTAATAGCTAATTATAATTTAAATATCTTTTTAATTTCAAAGTACTTGTAAAGTACTTGTTCGAAAAAAATAACTTGTATAGTACAAATGAATAGAATAGAATTTATTTAGTCAATATACAAAAATAGTTTTCAGTGCAACTTACTAGTCGCAGTCGTTGAGATTATTCACAAAAAGCTTTGACACTCAACATTAATAACACACATATAAAATATAAAATACTGGACAAAATACATTCTAAAATTTTTAAAATTTAGGTAAGGATAGTAAAACTTAGTTTATGACATCTTTCTGATACGTAGATAACAAAAAACAAGAGGCCCATCTTGGTGATTTTACTTTTTAATTTTGAAAACTGTCTTAATGGTATGCAACATGTTATGTATACAGGTGTATTATGGCGTGTGTATGTAGAGGTAAATATTTATTTTATTTCTGATGTTTTTCCAGTAAATAACAATAAGTCTGACATAAATAAACTGAGCAACATTTATTGTTATTTACTGGAAAAACATCAAAAATAAAATAAATATTTACCTCTACATATACACGCCATAATACACCTGTATGCATAACATGTTGCATACCATTTGAACCACCAGTTAGAAGAAGGGAATGAATCCAAAAAGTAGATTTTCGGGAAATCAATAAAAACTGTTTATTCGTTCTATTTAATTTTTTCTTGTTTACTAATGACATCTACTATAAAGTACAGTTTATATAAGTTAATTTGGATTGGAGAAAAACCATCCAGTGATTTTCGTTATCTAGAAAGACGATAAAGAAAATCTTGGATTTATTCCTTTCTTACAACTTATATTATTTTGACATGAATAAAGACACAAAATTGTATGAAAAAGCTTATTTTATTTAAAGTAATTTATAAAAAACAAACAAATACACAAAAAAAAACATTTCCCTAAACTACCCTTCTTCCTCAATGATATTATCTGATGCAGTAGTTGGCCATGTAAGAATGTTTTCATAAAATTCTTTTTTATCTTCTGGAATATATGGAATTATTTTCCGAACGTCTTCCATCTTTTTCTCATTTATTGGTATTTTTGCCCTATATGCTCTGGTAGTAGGCAATGAAGGGATCACCCCATTTTTTTGAAGTAGAAACCTCTGTTTCAGAAAACCATCTATTTGTTCTGAAACTGTTACGTAGCCTTTATGGGAAGAAGAATACTCTAAATATCTATATTTGGATATCATAAATGTAGACGTTTTGTCCACCGACTTACACGTTTTTTTGTAATAATTTTTCCAAGTGTTTTTAAAGTCGAATATGTCGTCTGAGGTGATTGTTGTTACCGAAAATCCTCTTGTTTTGGCAGTAGAGATCACTATGTTGTATTCCTCTGGTACGTAAATCCTATCTTTTCTCCTGATAAATCTTTTTGCTGTTCCGAAATTCCGATCGCACTGTAAAAACGAATGTCCACGCACAGGAAAGTACTGATACACTTTATCGAACCGTCCAGTCGAAACCAACATGAGCATGAACCGTATCAGGGTATTGTTTCTATTCTGTCCTCCGCAAGCGTCACTAAACACGTGAAGTTCGTTTATAGCAGGATCCATATTCTGAATTGTCTTCCAAATTAGACTACATACATCATCAGGTCCTCTTTTAGCTTCTCCTTCATGGTACGTGTAAAAATCTGCACAATTTGTTTTCAAATCGTGGACACAAAACACGTAAAGCCATAGTTTTCTGAGATAGAACATTTCCTGTACTGGTATTTTTGGAAGCGGAAGGTTTTGCATGTAGTCGAAAACAATAGCTCCGACATTTTCCTTTTATTGACATAGTCTTAACACTTCTTGCTGCTTCAGGTAAAACTTTTTAGCTCGTCTCAGATGTACCATCTTTTTTGCAACTGCTACACGCTTGGCGTGTTCATTCAGCGTTTGACTTCTTATTTTAGCCTCAAGTTCTTCACAAGTTGAACAAACGTCAACCTGTGGTCTTCCAAATCTGTAGCCATGGTTATCATTACAGTATTTTCTAAAAAAATCGTATTTAACGATGTTGGCATGTTCGGGATACTTTTTGCAAAAGAGTTCATGCATTATCTTCACATTGAGGTTAGCATCCAAATATTGAATTAATCTGGTGCTGTAATGTGATTCTTTTAACGGAAATGATCGAATGTGATGATTGATCGCAAGAACTACATTGTTATCTAAATTGTTGCCACGATTTAAATGAATACCACGGTGATCCACCGGTAATTTTCCTTCGGAAATAAGAGAAGTCAGTCGAAAAATTGCTTTATTTTTTATAGCATACAAGATTGAAAAAGCTTGCCTACATACCTCAACTCTTGCAGAATTTATTTGGATAAAAAAACGAAAAGTATTGTCACGCCTTTTGGGATTTTCATTTTTGGATCGTCTTCGAATAACTTTCGAGCAGTTTATGTGGCTTATAAGAAAAGTATCCTGTTCATTTTTTGGACATCCACTGTACACACTTTGTAGAATCGTTTGCTTTTCTTCTAAACTAAACTTCTGTGTGCACCGTTTTTTACATGTACACTCACTAACAGTATTTGATTTTGCCGGTACAATACGCCCTGTAGTTGAACTAGTATAGGTTTCACCGTGTAAACGATGTAATTTTTGTACCTCGTGTTTGTATAAATGTTTATTTCGTACACCCCGTTTTCTCTTCCGTGAAGTCGCCAAATCGCAAAAAATGTTTATGATACTGTCCTCACTGCTATTACTATCACTACTACTAGACATTTTTCTGTTTAAAATATCAACAAACAAAACAAGAACGAGACTTACGTAGATGTCAACAGCAACTGAATTGTATTGTCATCACCGACAGTTACAGCATGTCGCCGTAGGCCGCCAAAAAACACGTGACAAACAGATTAAACCGTAAGTTTGAAGAAAGAAATAATTCCCTTTATTTATTCCCTTCTTAAAACTGTCGCACATTTAGTGTTGAAATATCTCCGTAACTTATACGGTGTTTATTCCCTACTTAGCGCGGACAGATGGGTCTTGCTTTAAAAGGTATATTTTTGTTAAAATGTCGTTTCGCCATATTTTGGCGTTTATTCCCTTCTTCTAACTGGTGGTTCATTTAAACAGGTTTAAAAATTAAAAAGTAAAATCACCCAAGATGGGCCTCTTGTTTCTTGAAAAGAAATACAACATTAAGAACACCTAATTACATTTTTTTAGAATGTATTTTGTCCATTATTTTATATATTTTATGTGTGTGTTATTAGTGTTGAGTGTCAAAGCTTTTTATAAATTATCTCAACAGTAAGTTGCAGTATTCTCAAGCACTATACTGTGGTTGTACTGACGAATTGCGATGTAGTATACTCCCTTTAAAACGAAACACGGTTATTACCAGGTACATTAGACGTCCCGTAAAATCTCTATTTAACTATAACCCTCTATAGCGAGGTAAATTTGCTTATCACGAGAAAAAATAAGATTAAAAACGTGTTTTTTTTACGTTTTGGCCCGGCCGTAGCTATAAATAAATACCCTTTTTAAATGCCGCCCGCAATAAACTTCTTACAATTTATGATTCTTAGTCGAAAATTTACAATTTATGATTCACAAGTGTCATTGTAGGGAGTTGACAATTCCCACATAATAATATAGGTCCATAGACAAGATGTGGAAAGTGTTTTAAAGGTTGTCAGAAACTTTATCCAAAGACAAAACGCAAATGAAGAAGCACGTTTCACATTTTTTCAATTGCAGAAGCAGTAGTTTATGTTATTCTTGAAAAACGCTTTATACAGATTTACAGAATACAGATTTTTTGTTTTAACGTATGTCATTGTCAATAAAAGTAAATAACTTTTTTTCAAAAACGCATTTCAAACAATATTTATTAGCATCTTATATTGCTCCGAATGGCTTCACTATAGAAAGTTAATGTTTTAGAAAACTACATATTCATATGTATGCACAGTATTATTGTTGTTGGATAGAACGAGGTAATTAGTCTGCCATTTCAGTTCTCGTTATAGAGGGAGTCTACTGTATTTTGTAAATATTTACATATTCTTCTTATTACAGTGTCTTGAAAAAGGAATAAGTAAAACAATTCCGAAAGCTAGACAAAAAGTCAAAAGAGTGTTTCTTTAACATTCCGGCCAGACTTCTGACTGTAGCCCTAATAAACTGTGTTGTTTGTTTATATCGACAGTCACTAATATTCAGTATTTTGTTTGTTAGCTAATGGGTGATAGCTGACATAAAAAAAAAGCGTTTGCCTCATACCGTTCCCGCGCATACTAAGAGTATAAAAGCAGACACACAGGGTAAGACCGGTCGTCACTCGACACTGAGGAGTAGGCAGATTGAGACCTCAGTGCCGTTTGACGGTTCTTGTATTTATACAGAACACGATACTGGTACCCGAACTCGAACGGAACCGTATCACTCTTGATAATGGCTCCAAAATGGGTGGGTAATAAATTCTCAACGCTGTTCTTCCTGAGAACTTGGTAATTTTCATTCATCTGACCGAAATTTAATATATATATATATATATATATATATATATATATATATATATATATATATATATATATATATATAAATAAATATTTAAATTAGTAAATAACATAAATAATGTTATTTACTAATTTAAGATGTTTAATTTATATATAAGTTCTCATTCTCATCTGAAAAGCCTAATTTTCCATAAAAATTGAAATAGAAAAGAAAAGAACTTTCTAGAAGTTTAAAAAAAAACGTCAAAAAGTTTAAATATATCAAATTAGAAAGAATCTAACCTCTTTTCGTTCGAGAATTTTCGCGAACATTGAAATATCTATAAATACGCTGGCACTTTCGTGCGTAAAGAAGATTAATTATTGAGAACTCAAACTGTCACAATTCATTTTTGGAAAAAGTCAAGTTTTCGTTAAATTTTCATAGAGAAGAAATCAAACAATAAT